TTCAGCTGAACCACAGGGCAATACATTTTTCTTAAAATACGTCTCCTTAATTTTTCATCTGATGATCGCCTCCCTGTATCTTTGCTCTCTACCCTGAGTCGAAAGAGAAACTGAATGGAATTCTGTACTGCATTTTAACAAGTTTATGTTATAGCAGATTATAGCAGCAGTTAAAAATCTGAGACTATTTTCAAATCTAGAGTCCTATGGTAAGTTAGTTCAATTTAAGGATTTTTAGCATAACCCTGTACCATTGACGTGTTGCAACTGCTTGAAAAATGTATCCAGAGGCTAATGAGCAGTGAGTTTACCTAATACAACAGCAAATAATACCTGAATACTATCTCCTGAGTACTCCTGTTAATGCAGAGGTCTTCCAGGTACTTAGCAGGATTGTAATGTCAGCCAACACTCTGAACCACACGACAGCAGAATTAGTCTATATTAACAAGGGAAATGAAATCACAGAAATATATCGACAATAAATATTTATTAATTTGAAAAATAGACCCACATAGTGTCCATTTTAAAATGCCAAGGCTATTGCAGTTCCTCTTGGATGTACAAATTTGTTTGAAAAGTCAGCTTTCAAATATTAAAATTTTTTAGTTAAATGTTTTGCTTCAGGGTATTTGAATTTCTTGGCTGTTGAAGTAAAAAAGCTATTAACGCATACAATTCACATTTAGTATAATATAGGTGCGTCCTGGATCACTTATATGCTCTTACTCCTTGAGCAGCTCCCCTTAAACTCTAGTTCCCAGTCAACTCTGTCCATTTACCAAACCCAAATGAAACCACAGAAAGCCCAATTCCTCTCCATACTTGTAGCAGACATTGCCCCCAACCTGCTTTCTGCCCCAGTGGAAATGTTAATTAGGTGCTCTTTTGATGAACTCTGGTTCTCTTTTTCCTTCCTTTGTGAATACTCTAACTAGCATTTTTTAAAATTGCATATATGAAACACAAGAATATTTTTCTAATTATGCAATTATATGACATAAAATGAAAATTTAAAAATCCCATTAAGACCAGAGTCTTCAAGGAAATAAAGGTCACAAAACTAACCTGTATCAGNTGAACAAATCAGATGTGACTTCTTTAGAACATCCTAATGGCGTGGAGAGAGACTAAACAAATAAGCAAATAAATAATAAGCCAGATGATGATATTTGCTATGGAGAAAAAGGAAGCAGGGTAGAGGTATAGATAATACAAGAGAGAGGGTATTATTTTACATAATACAATCAGAGAAGGGCTCACTGCTGACATTTAAGCAGGGAGTAAGGGACCAAGCCATGAGGGTGTCCAAAAGAGAATTCCAAGTAGAGACTCTGAGGCAGGTACCTGCTGAACTTGTTTTGAAGAAAAGCAAAGGAAGCTTTGTGAGTAGGTGTGAAAAGGATATATGTTGAGGTCAGAGAGGCAGTCTCGGGTATCAATATCAGAGTCCCATCAGGCAGTTCACTTTTTCAAAGGACGGAGCAAAGAAAATGTGTGCAGTACGCAATAGCCACAGATACTCAGTAATGCCACTTACCTGCAAGTGTCTCTGAGGTCACTACTTCTCTTCTTACCCTATCTACTCTATCAGGGTATGTTTCACCCTCTGCCATTCAGCTGAACCACAGGGCAATACATTTTTCTTAAAATACGTCTCCTTAATTTTTCATCTG